GAGTTCAGAAGGCTCTTTGATTTAAGGTGAACTATAAATCCCAGCAACTCCAGCATTACCAAATTACAAAATCAATCACCCCCAATCCCACCACTATTCAAATTTTGGGCGTATCGGGTATTTGTGCTAAATTTGGTCCAGTGAATGAAAATACATCCTGCATATTTACATTATGACTCTTTACAGAAGCAAAATGACAGTTATGAAGTAGCAACGAAAATAACGTTATGGTTGGGGGTCACCACAACATGAGGACCTGTACTAAGGGGTCGCGGCATTAGGAAGGTTGAGAACCACTGCTCTAGTGCTCTCCCTTCTTTTCCATCTGGTCCTGTCTTTTCATCCAGTTTTGTTTCCCAGCATCTCTTTTCTTGATACAGCTTTCCTTCCATTTATATTAATAAAAGAAATTTGTGATGCTACAAAGTATAAACAATAATCAGATTTGATCAAAATGTTGTCACTTTTCTTCTGTGTGATTTTAACATCTTCGATGAAGAAGACAGTAAAGATTTGAAAGTTTGTGCATTTTGGTTGGCCATCTCTTTTTTGTGAATTCAGAATATCAGATATTGGAAGTAATAGAATTGAAGGCACAGTGGAACCAATTTGCATGATTGTGTGTGTTTGAAAGCATTGGGATATCGGTTAGTGAACACTAGCTCACTGCATTGCATTAAATGGGCTTTGCTCCAAAGTGTTTGGAACTGGATTGTGGCCTGTGTGTTTGTGATGGAAAGAATACTGTTTTGGGGGGGGGGGGGGAAGGCAGAATTTTCAAATCTGTGTTTCTGATCCTATTGGTTTGCTTCCATTTCTTCTGTCTAATGTTGTGTCCAGATTTTAAAATACAACCCCATTCTGACCAAATGCAGTTGGACTGGAGCAGGTTAAGTTGTATTTGGTTTCAGCACTTGAATGAAGGAAGAGCCAAATAATACAAATCAGTTCAAGGACCTTTAACATTACAGCCAATTGCTTCTAATAGCTCGAATAGTCCCCTCTTTCATTCTGTATTCAGAATGACTGCTGGATGAAGGAGACTTTTTCCAGTGGTTCTTTTCCTTTTCCTTTTGTGTGCCCATATATTTTCAGATTGACTTGCTGATTCATGCCTGTGTCCACAATGGGGCAACTGTATTGTAAGGATAAAAAGGCTATTCAGAGATTGCCTGTTTTACTGACACAGGCTAGTTAAACAGCTCCAACAGAAGGGTGTTATATGCATTGCAGATCTTTCATCTGTCCATAATTCTTCTTACCTTCAAAAGGAGATAACTCTTTTTTCAGAGGGCCCTCGGTATCTGTTGGGTTTCGGTTCCAGAACACTGTGGATGCTCAAATTCCATTATACATAATGGCATAGTGAAATGATGCCACTTATATAAATTGGCAAATCAGGGTTTCCTTTAAGGATTTAAAAAAAATATTTCCAAGACATAGATGGTGGAATCCATAGATGCATAATTCATGGACATGGAGGGCTGACTCCACTGGAAGCTCTGAGAGAATTGGACTGGTTTCATTATAAATGCTTGAGGAAATGCTAAAAGTTTTGCAATCCTTGTGCTTATTAAGGGTAGTATGAATGCAGTCACATCCTTTCCCATCTTATGGTGTATACCATGTGTATACCATTTATCTCTTAGTGATTCTGTGTTTCTAGTGAAATGTTTCCAGTTAATTGTGTGCACATGTGATTGCTGCAACCCTGTGTTATCTTTATCTCAGGTCAGTTGGGTCTGTATTATTTTGCCCTTTTGGAACACTTCCTAGAAAAGTCTAGAGGGAACCATCTGCACTATTTTGTCATCGATTAATAATATTAATACACTGGTCTTTTACTTTAGTGGGTCATTAATTTTTAGAATTTTTTTCATGTCAGGAGTGACTTGAGAAACTGCAAGTTGCTTCTGGTGTGAGAGAATTGGCTGTCTGCAAGGTAATTGCCCAGGGGACACCTGGATGTTTTACCATTCTTTGGAAGGCTTTTCTCATGTGTGAAATGCACAGATATCAATGGCAACAACCAACAAAACAACAATGTATGTGCGTCATTCGCAAAATTCTGCCTCAGAGTAGGTTACTTCATGCTGTATTACTATTACTAAGACTTCAAAATTCACAGTAGTACAAGTACAGTTCTCATAGTATAATTCAACTAAGGATATACTATTCATGAAATACTTAACAGGCATAAAGAAAAGCACATAGAAACAACCAGTCCTAATAAGTCCTGGAGATGTAAAAGGTCTTGAGTCCAATACCAGTGGTAGTCAAAATAAAACCAGCTTCCAAAATAACGACTTCTATATTAAAGGAGGTTTTTCATTAACTCATAATGCCAGGAACAGCAACATAACAAGGTCTCCCGGGTTGTTCCCCTTGTTTCGTTATATCTTCTTTGGGTGTTATGCCAGTCATATCTATAATGCTTGAGTACACTAAATTTGAAATGAAGCAACATACAGACACAATAGATATACCAAAATCCCCAAATTAACATTGTTTTGAAAAAAGAAATAAAGTTAAGATTGTTATTCCATTGACCTTAAGGGCAGGCACGCCTCTGCCCTACCATTACAGCATTTAATCATCTGAACTGTAACATCAGTTTTAGATGAAAAACAGCAGTCTTGATAACAGAACAGCCTGGATCTCCTCTTGCGGTAGTGATGCAATCGGTCATTTGAAAGAACTCTGTGATCACTGCCAAATTATTCCTTGTGTCCTCTTTCTGACTTCCATTATCCTGTGCGGCCAAAACTAATTGCCTTTTCTGTGGTATGAGCAGATGCTGAAAATATGAGCAATTTTGCTGGGGTCATCAAAGAGGCAGAAGCAAAACTACAGACAAGTTCAGTGGGTTTTCAGTAAACTGGCTATTTGGTTTGCTTTTAAAAAAATCTTACAAATATACTAGGCAGTTTTAGATATTAAGCACCCTTAGTGTTTTCTCCAGCATATCTTTATTTCATCTAAATATTGATAAAAATAAGGAGACTGACAGGGAAGCGTCAAAGCTAAAGGATAATGAATAGGAAGAAATAGGAGAAAGCACATTGTTTAGTGCAGCCATGCTTCTGAGAAATTCACCAGCAATGCTTCTGAAAAATTCCAGTGTGTCGAAAGAGGAAATACACGTAATATGTGATTGTAATACCGAAACATGTCAGAGCTCTTGGCTAGTTTCATATACTGGGTACATTTGTTTCTGTTGTGATGATAGCTGGATATCTGTCCTTATTCTGTTGAAGTTAGATCTGTTCAATTTATCTGAGCTTCTTTCCATTCATTTGTTCCTCCCATACTATTCAGCTGAACTTCAGGATGTTGGCCAACAAGATCCACTGGAAAAATAAAATGCAATATGTATGATACCGATAAATGATCTTTTGTGCTTGAATATGTCAAAGAGTGAGAGCCCTTATCAGTATTATTCAAGTAGCCGGGAGTGGTTTTATTCAGTCCTGTGAGAGAAAAAAGTCCAGAAGATTTTCATCAGTCTTTCCGTGCATACTTGTGCTCACATTGACATGCTCATGAATAGAATATGCTTCACTCAATACACCTTGACCGCTTTATACTACTTTGAGGTTCAGTGGGGGAAAGTGAACAAACTGTACTGTCCCGCCCCTTTCATTCTTGGCCAAATTGAATTTCTTTCAGTTTGTTCTGGGTTGTCTTTGCATTGAACTCATGAAGCTTCCTGGCACAAAGAATGAAATATTAGCATTTTGGAAAATGGTTTGAAAACATGAAGATGATGTGATTTAAAAATAAAGAGATTATGTTATCTTGTAGCTATTATTTATTATTTATTTATTTACAGTATTTATATTCCGCCCTTCTCACCCCAGTTACATTGTAATCTCAGGGCGTACACATCTATGGCAAACATTCAGTGCCAAAGACACACAACACATATAGACAGACAGTCAGAGGCTATTTAACTTTTCTGGCCGCCAGGGGAGCTGTTGCTTTCATCGTCCATCTGCGACACTGATGAAGAACTTCCGCATTCCCCGCATGCTTTGCTGGAGTCTTTTTATGACCTCGTAAATTAGTTGAATTAGCTTCCCCACACATAGGTGGTACCTAGTTTTCCTACTTGACAGATGTAACTGTCTTTCAGGTTGTAAAGGTCGACAACAAGCTACACAATTGATCGGAAGCTCACTCCGACCCAGGCTGGCTTCGAACTCATGACCTTTCATTTAGAAGTGATCTTAATGCATCTGACACTCAGCCAGCTTCGCCACAGTCCCGGTGCTATAAATACGAAAATATTTGTTTTGCTTGGAAGACCTGGGATTAAAATAAAAGTGTTTTGTTTTTCATTTAGGCATGGGCAATCCATGGCTATAAATAGTTCTAAAGTACTTACAAAACTAGGGGGCGCTGGTGCTTTGCTTCTAAAGTGTTTCTAAAGTTCTGGTGGTGAAAATTCAGAACTCTAACAAAACTTTCAAAATTTCATTATAAATGGCAGTTCCTGATTGGTTATCATAAAAATCGCCAGGAACGAAATAATTCAATTTTGAAAGTTTTGTTAGAGTTCTGAAATTTTCACCACCAGAACTTTAGAAACACTTCAGAAACAAAGCTTTAGCTTTAGCAACACTTTAGAAGCAAGGCACCAGTGCCGCCTAGTTTTGTAAGTACTCTAGAACCATTTAGAACTATGGATTGCCCACTCCTATTAACCATCTTAACCTAACAGCTGTTAAAAATTACTAGTCAGAGTAAATTTCACAACTAATCCACCCAGTTTCACCAACCCATAATATTCTAAGATAGTGTGATCAAACCAGTATAATCAAATTGGTACCATCACAAGTATCCAATTAAACAGGGGCTTTTTGCTTGGAAGACCCAACCTTTTTATTCAGCTCCAAAACCCGTATTTAATTTAAAATCACAATGTGCCTAATACAGTTTAATTTAATTAGTGACAGAATATAGATCTGGAATTTCTGAATGATAGAGTAATAATACAGAATCATTTGCCTGAGCCTGCAGGGAGGTATTTTCTCCCATATTGCAAACCAAATATCCCATGTGAACTATCTTAACAGTTTTGTCTATGGCTTTCGTGAGAAACAAAAGTCACCATAAAATGGGAAAGGTTCTGATGGGTGACATAAGGATCAACATGGTTTGTACCCAAAAAACCAGTTCATATTATTTAAAATATTATGTATAAAATTACCTCCAGGGTGTGTGTATAAGGTGTAAATGAAAAAGAAATCAATTTTGTTTTTAGGCCTGAGTCCATTCTCATAAAATCTCATTATGCAAACATTCTAACATCTGAAATACAGAGCATTTCTCATCCTAGGCATTTTGGATAAGGGATACGCGATTTGTATTGTTCTTAAGCTCTCCAGTTTTCAAGACAGTAGCAACTCATAATCTTAATTACCTGTATTCTCCTCTTTGAAAAATATCTTAATGAGGGCATTTTATCTTTGCATGTCTTTCAAGATAATAAAGGAAGTTTGCAGCAACTGTGTTGGTACTACAGATTCAGATGGACCGTCATCTAATTCTCCTGTACACAAGACTGAACTAGAAAAGGTAATTGTCCTATAAATGATCACAGAGGAAAATGCAATGTATAATAATATCATAATGGCTAATTTAGTAAGGTAATCATTCGTGGTTTGTTTACTATATGCATGAAAAGTGGAGCAAAGTGAAAGCTTGCATGCAGCTCATGTAAGAATTCCTGATTTTAGGTGAAGTGTGGACAAATCCTCTTTAAACATTGAAGATTTAATTAAGGTTCATTTCATATTTCTTATCTAGAATCACAGAGTATTTTTTATTTTGGCTGATTTCCATGCCCACACATAATTTTTCTGCATAAAATGATGGTCTTGTAGCTTTTAAAAATGAGTTTGTTTATTTTCTTTAGCTTCTTTTAAATTGGGCATTGCTGACCACTTGGTTTTATGTTTAAAGCGAAACATTGTATTATTGTATGTTTGTGTGTTAACTGTACTGGAATGAGAAATACTCTTTAAAGCACAAGGCCAGGGAAAAATGTAGTCCTCTTGAAGCACCCTATATATAATACCTCAGGCTATATGTGGTATTACCCATTGTGTCAGAGTAACAGAGGAAGGAGAAGGGAAGAGAAAAGTTCCCATCTGAAGCACATCTCTGGATACAAATGTTCCTTACAAAATCAGATGAAGGATGGAAGGGAATGTGTTTGAGAGTTGCGTTAGGATGTTTTGGGGGGGGGGGGAGGTAGATGAGGATGAGTTGAGAAGTATTTTCCAGGTTTCAGATGCTCTGAGAAAATGTCTGTGGTTTTCAAGCTTTTGTTGAAAAAATGTGGGTTCATAAAACATGCAATATTTATATGTGAACTCTGGAGAGGTAGCCCATCTCAGTTATCTTTAGATCTGCTGGGGAGGCCCTTTTCTTCATCCCAGCACCATCACAGGTCCGGTTGGTGGGGTTGAGAGAGGGCCATCTTGGTGGTGGCTCCCCGGCTCTGGAATGCCCTCCCCATAGAGATTTGGTTAGCCCCAAATCTCCAAAACTTCAGTTCAAGCCTAAAGCATGGTTATTTACATGGGCCTTTTACCTGGAGTAATGTACTGTGATCATGTGATGAACTTGACCATTGTTACTCAGCACTTTAGTTTGTGTTTGAAGAAACCTAATGACCCACAGATATGACTGGGTTTTAGAATCTTTAAAAAAATTAATTTTATTGATTTACATTGTCCATTGTTTGTATTCAGTCATATTGTGAATTGTTTTGGTGATATGTAATTCTGTTTTGTGTGGCACCTTGAGTGCTTTGTTAGCTGCTCCAAGTCCCTTCAGGGAGATGGTGGTGGTGAGAGGGGTACAAATAAAGTATTATTTTTATTAGTAGTATTATTATTAATAATTCTGCAGGTCCATTTTTCTTTTCGGTAAATATGTTTCTGTTTCCTTTTTTCTTTCTCATTTTTATTGATTTATCATTTCCTTATTGGTCTCATTGTAAGATCTTCTTTCTCTTTTTATGTTTTCAGTTTATTGCTCTTGGTTCATCTTTTCTGCAACTCTGCTAACCTTTATTTCGGTCAAATATCATGCTTGTTGTCTAAAGAATTCTCTTCATTTCCTTTGTCATCTCTTTATCTTTGGAACTTATTTTCCATGGATTTTGTAGGCTCAGGTGCCTCAAATTCTTAAGAAGTACGTATATAAAATTGTATTTTATTATGAATGTTTCAATTCATTATTCCTCCACCATCGTTGCTTTCATGTTTCTAAATCTACAGGATTTGTTGTGTTGTCTTTTATACTATTTTGTGTTACAGCCTGCTTTGTCTTCTGGTGTTTCAAAAATATTTTTATTGAAGTATTTAAATTGACTCAAGAGGGTATTACATAATGCTCCAACTTCAGTAATTTATTTTCAAATAAAAATAACTTAATACAGTGGATGCTTGGTGTCTTCCAGGAGACTTTTGCATACTCACTCCCATTATATGCAATCATTTAGTAATATGTTGGGGCCCCAGGAAAAAGGAAAAAAGGATGGATGAAGGAAACAGGGAAAAAGAGAAGCTCCTGGTGACACCATGGGTTAAACTGCTGAGCTGCTGAACTTGTTGACTGAAAGGCCAGTGGTTCAAATCCAGGGAGCGGGGTGAGCTCCCACTGTTAGGTCCAGCTTCTGCCAACCTAGCAGTTCAAAAACATGCAGATGTGAGTAGATCAATAGGTACTGCTTCTGTGGGAACGTAACGGTGCTCCATTCAGTCATGCTGGCCACATGACCTTGGAGGCGTCTATGGACAATGCCGACTCTTCAGCTGGAGATGAGCACCACCCCCCAGAGTCTGACACAACTAGACTTAATGTCAGGGGAAACATTTACCTTTTCTTTAATAAAATGGGGTTCCTTATTTAAAATAACAAAAATCAAGGTTTATCTTTTGGAATTTGTTTTCAATATGTGGATGGTTGAATGTGGATACAGAATCAGTTTGGAGGGCAAACTGCCATTATATTTGAATTTTGAAGGGAACATCCTATCTATAGTCACATACTATCTCTACAAGTTATTCATGTTGAGCAATTTTTTAAAAAAAATGAACTTTGTTTTGTTTTTTCTATTACTGTGAAAAGAAAAGTCTCACCTTAAAAAGACTAAACAGGAATAAAAGCTGTCTTTTCTGGCTAGTTCTGTGAATGTTATTTCTGGCTCTGTGTTTGTTGAAGGAAGCTCTGTTACAAGAACAGGCAGGATACCAGTGCCATTTATCAAACATTTTCAGGAACATCACTACAATAAAGACATGCGTAAAACTTTGGAACAGAGAGGGAGATCAAGGGCTTAAAAGATACACAACTAATGAATACTAAAGAAGATATATAAATTCCAGCAGAGAGGGGAAGAAAACAATAAAAGAGACTGAACCATGTATCCTTTCAGATTTGCATGTTAGATACATTATTCATTGTTGCTTTTATAGTCACAAGTATAAAATGTCAGTATACAAAGCAAATTTCATAAGTAAAGGAGATGGGTCCTTGAGCCAATGTGATGGTAATGCAGGGGAAGCCAAGTTTAACAAGAGGTTCAAAAGAGCAAGTGATAGTTCTCTTTGGTTTATTACTATTCACATAGTCTTCATGTAAGGTATCTACAGGGAGGAAGCCCGTAGAAGCGGTTGTTTGTACCTAGACTTCTCTTGAGTTGAGACACTTTCACAATGGGAAGGCATAATCATTTGGAAGTATCTGTTTGCATATAGTCATCCTTTTGGGAAGGAACTGAAAAGAAATGAATGGGAGGGGCAACCCATAGGAATTCTAGAGGATTGGTCTAGAAAAGCAGTTCCTAAACATTTTTGGCCACGAAACCTTCCAGAAGACATTTATTTTCTGTGGAACCCTGATTCTATCCCTTATTTTTAACATCAAAATACACATTTCGGAACATTTTACACTAATTCAAATATGTTTCCCAATTTCCTATATAAAGTCTAGTTTTGGAGTTTATTTTACTCTTGATATTTTATGAATAATACCCTAGTATCCCTTTCAATAACTTTTTTTCGTGTCAGGAGCGACTTGAGAAGCTGCAAGTCGCTTCTGGTATGAGAGAACTGGCCGTCTACAAGAATGTTGCCCAGGGGATGCCCTGATGTTTTGATTTTTTTAACCATCCTTATGGGAAGTTTCTCTCATGTCCCCGCATGGGGAACTGGAGCTGACAGAGGGAGCTCATTCGCGCTCTCCATGGATTTGAACCTCTGACCTGTTGGTCTTCAGTCCTGCTGGCAGAAGGATTTAACCCATCGTGCCACTGGGGGCTCCTTTCAATAACTGGGGATTCAGAGGTGTGGTTTTGTTGCAGGTAACCTGGAGTCCACAGTTTTCTCCCAATCTGGGCAATTGCATCTAGAGTAGCAGCTCAATTTTGGAATGTTAGCAGGGGGGATAAGATACTTACTAGCAAGGTGTACTTCTTGATTTCAGGGGACCTTTCTCCCAGTATGAGAAATTAAAATAAATCACAACAATTGAACCTCCCTGGTAGTGCTTCAAATGATCTGTGAGCTCCAAGGTGTTGAAGCCTATTCTAAAACTAGTCTAGCTCCATCCCCTAGGAGAGCGCCTTCCAAGTTTGGACTAAATACCAGAGTAGGTTCACCACCCCCTTGATTTGGGATCCCCTGGAAAAAGAATTCCCAGTTGCACTGGGAGGTCAGTAAGGGCACCGCAGGGGCTTGAACCCCTTCCTGGAAACCAGGAACTCCAACCACCAGCACCTTTTCCTTTCCTTTTTTTGTTGTTGCTTTTTTTGCTTTTTTTGTGGCAATTCAACAAGGGAGAAAGCAAAACCTAAGAGAACACAAGTGTGTTCTCTCAGGAAAAAGAAAACCTGTCAGAGTTAGGATGTCACAATGTTTTGGAGAGGTACTCTGCTAAATTTGTTCCCTGGCCAGGTATTATTTGTCATTATTACTACTATTATTTCTTCTCAGGATTGAGACCCAAATTGGCTTAAGTATAAAAACCAATAACAATAAAAACCTACAGAAGGTAAAAATTGAAATGGAATTGGAGTTATACAAGTATTACAACAAATCAGTATAAATACAATTACAATAAATGAATAAAAAACAATTCAGGAAAGACCCCTACTATCCCAAATTCATAATGTGTAGACTTTTGGGATGCCCTCTTCACATATATCTTCAAACCAAGTGAGGGGGGTGGGGAGATCCTTTCCTTTATATCTCTCCACTGTCACCAATTTAGGCCAGTAACTTATACCAGTTCTCTTCTAAAATCTGCTGGGACTCCTCTGGGTTTCTCTTTAAATCTTATTCAATGTTTTATGAAACGGTCTTCATACACAACTCCACGTTAACTGAGTTTATTTATAGAAGTCTTGCACAAAAGCTTGTTGGTTACATTTATATATTAGCGTCTTAGTTGAATATAACTGTTTCATGACAACTCTCATCCTTATGACTTTTTACCCATGAAAGATTCACTTGTTAAACATATAATAGCAAACTCTCAACTGTTCTCCACTCACTATCCTAACT